TTTGAGGTTAGGTGCACTTTAATTATTCTCAAACAGGCAATAATTGCATCACTTATTTATGCAATGCTTGGATAGCTCAGTAGGATGCAGGAGTGTAGTCTTGGTCTAACGTTTTAGGATCACTGGTTCAAAATCCTGTACAAAGGATTTCTTCTGTTTTTTTTTTCTTTTTTCTTTTTGCTGAGATTGAACAGTGGTTGGTTTTCCAAAATTTCCTCAGCAGAAGGATGCCATGCATGAGATAATTATTTGGAAATTTAAAGTACATCTAGGAGTTAACTAAAGCAGACTGGCGCTTATTACTGAACACTATCAAATGTTGCACTAGTATACAAGCAAACTAACACAAGGAGATCCCCTTCACTTAAATTCGTGTTTGGCTAGTGTCAATCTGTATCCTAACTGCCAAGTAGAGGTGTCATAAAAACTAAGACCCTCAAAATCTAAGACTTAAGACCCCATCATGGTTTTTAGGGTCTTAGTTTTCGTGACACCCACTGACAAGTCCACCCCTCTTAACAAGAGATCTGAATTATAACCTAAATTAATGCCCTGACCATAATTAATTTGTATGTAGCAAGTCAGAAGAAGGGTCACCCCAGCCTCCCTTGAATGAATACCGAACAGTCTTAAACTGTTGTGATTCAATTAATAACTGATTAGAATAATTAACTGAAACAACTCAATGGGATTCACTTCAGACGTAAAATGCTAGGATACTTTTAATCACTGTAAATTTATTTTCTTACCTAATAAGTTCAGCAAGGCCTACTAGGGTTAAAAAAAAAACGTAAAATAAGTAAAAGAATTAGAAAGCATGAAAATTATTGCATCTATCAGTATGTGCAGTTGCCTCAAGATAAATAAATAATTAAATAATTAATAAAATAAATATCAAGTAAATAATTTATATAAATAGATAAACAAGCAAAATAACAACAGACCTAGGCAATTTTACCATTTTTTCATCAGGACATTCACACATCGAGGATACCTTCTCATGTTCCTGCTTGTGGGCACTTACTTCACAGGTAAAATCTTATATTCCACTTACAGTACAGTAAAAACATGCTTGTAAAAACCTAGCGGTTTAAGTACCTGCAGGCATAAATTTGCCTTGATTTTAATACCCAAAAATATAAGGACCTGTTTAGCTAAACAAGATCAAGCAGGTTCTTATAGGTGGGCTACAGTTAAATTACAAAATGATAAACATTTTAACCAAGGAGTGTGACTTTGAGATTGCAAATTTATTTACAAGAAAATACACGTACATGATACAGTTGTGAATAAAATAATACTGTATATATAAGGATTAAACCCAAGATTATTTATTTTTCTGGTAATCAACAACCGTAATCTCCTTCAAAGAAACTAAGAGCCTAATTGAGAACCTACTTAGCCTAAATTGTCATTAACTACCCCAAAAATTAATACAAGAACCTATTTTGCCTGACTTCAAAAATGTAGGGTCTTACCCCTGGGTTTTTACTGTATCAAAGTGTCAGCCCAATAATGTGAAATATTGATGTTTAAGGCACTTGTGCCCAAATTATTCCCACATACAGATTTTTTT